CTATGTCAAAAAAAATAAAAAGAAAAAAAAGAATAAAGTGTGAAAATGATGCCACAGGGTGATGCCTGTGGCTCAGTGGGAAGGGCACCAGCCCCATATACTGAGGGTGGCAGGTTCAAACCTGGCCCCGGCCAAACTGCAACAACAACAACCACCAAAACAAACAAACAAACAAAAAAATAGCCAGAGAACTGCCTAAGCCCAGGAGTGGGATGCCACAGCACTCTACCGAGGGTGACAAAGTAAGACACTGTCTCTAAAAATAAAATTCAGACAATAGACACATATCTATACTTAATGTCTAATAAAGGCAACTCTCACTCTGAAAAGAACACTAAATATTTCAGTCCCTTTCATCTCAACTTCTAATTTCTGCCTTGGAAATGTTCGGTTTCCTTCAAAGACAAAAATCTGGGACTTCTGATGGTCCCCAGCCTTCTTCTCTGAGCAGACTACACTGCCGGTTACAATAGTATCTAAGGCAGGGAACCAGAAACTGCCATCACTCATTCTCTACCCGTATGCAGAAGCAAGTTTCTTTTCTTTTTTTGAGACAGATCTTACTCTGTCAACCCTTGGTAGAGTCCCATGTTGTAGCTCACAGAAGCTCAAACTCCTGGGCTCATTCAATCCTCTTGCCTCAGCCTCCCGAGTAGCTGGGACTACAGGCACCTGCCACTTACTGGCTAATTTTTCTATTTTTAGTAGAGATGGGTCTTGCTCTTGCTCAGGCTAGCCTTGAACTCCTGAGCTCAAGCAATACTACCTACCCTGGCCTCTCAAAGTGCTGGGATTACAGGCATGAGCCACTGCACTGCTCCCGGCCAGAAACAATTACTACTTTTTTTTGAGACAGAGTCTCACTATGCCATCCTCAGTAGAGTGCCGTGGTGTCACAGCTCTCAGCAACCTCAAACTCTTGGGCTTAAGCCCTTCTCTTGCCTCAGCCTCCCAAGTAGCTGGGACTACAGGTGCCTGCCACAATGCTTGGCTATTTTTTTGTTGTTGTTGCAGTTGTCATTGCTGTTTAGCTGGCCAGGGCTGGGTTCCAATGGGCCAGGCTGGGTATATATGGCTGGCACCCTATCCACTGAGCTACAGGCACCGACAGAAATAAGTATTTCTAAAATTTATTACTGGACGGGTCAGTCAAGACAAAACAGCTTTCTGCAGGACACCAAACAATCATTCTTCTTTAATTAAAACCAAGGAGAATTTAGTGAAAGAACATGAAGCTGAAGGCTGACAGCAGCACTTCCAGATTTTTTAAACAATCAAGGTAATTTTTTGCATCTACGTTTTCAGTAAGTTTTAGAATAACAAACTTCACTTTTCTTTCATGCTACAAAAGCTTAAGACATTTCCTGTGTGAGATGGAGAAACCATACTATGGGGAAGAAGGAGTACTCCAATTCATGTAGTGACCTAACAAATGAGGATCCTGCACTGGGCCCACCAACATTATATTAATGCTTTTTAGACAATATTAATGTACATTTTCAGTAAATAAGAATTTAAGATAGAGTATCAGTTTCTTTTTCAGGTATACATTTCCAGCTCATAAATTTGATGACTTACTGAACAAATACCCAGAAAATACTACTACTGTAGGCCAGAGGCGGTGGCTCATGCCTATAATCCTGGCACTTGGGGAGGCCAAGGCAGGTGGATTGCTTGAGCTCGTGAGTTTGAGACCAGCCTAAGCAAAAAGGGAGACCATATCTCTACTAAAACATAGATAAACTGAGGCAAGAAGATCACTTGAGCCTGAGTTGGAGGTTGCTGTAAGCTATGATGCCACGGCACTCTACCCAGGGTGACAACTTGAGACTGTGTAAAGAAAAAAAAGAGAAAATACTACTATACATAAGACACAGTTCCAAGTAAGAATAATAAAGTATCTATAGCTGACTAAGAAATACAAATTCTGGCTCGGTGCCTGTGGCTCAAGCGGCTAAGGCACCAGCCACATACACCTAAGGTGGCAGGTTCGAATCCCCAGCCCGGCCCGCCAAACAACAAAAAATGGCCAGGCGTTGTGGCGGGCGCCTGTAGTCCCAGCTACTTGGGAGGCTGAGGCAGGAGACTCGCTTGAGCCCAGGAGTTGGAGGTTGCTGTGAGCGTGATGCCATGGCACTCTACCCAGGGGGATGGCTTGAGGCTCCGTCTCAAAAAAAAAAAAGAAATACAAATTCTGTAATAAAATTTTACTAAGAAACAAAGGGTGAAAACAATAGGTGAGACATTTGATACTATTAGAAAATGTAATGCAAACCCATGTATTTAGAACACCACTTCAGAGTATTAATTCCACAACTTTTGGCAAAACATATGTCAGCACTCTTCCACTATCATAAAGAAGAGTTCATAAGGGCAGTGCCTGTTGCTCAGTGGTTAGGGCATGGGCCCCATATACGGAGGGTGGCAGGTTCAAACCCGGCCCAGGCCAAACTTCAACAAAAAGTAGCCAGGCATTGTGGCAGGCGCCTGTAGACCCAGCTACTCAGGAGGTTGAGGCAAGAGAATCACCCTAAGCCCAGGAGTTGAAGGTTGCTATAAACTGTATAATGCCACAGCACTCTACCAAGGGTGATAAAATGAGATTCTGTCTCTCCAAAAAAAAAAAAGAGTGCATAAAATAAGCAAGGTGAAGCCAATAATAAACAAGAGCTGTGACAAAGTTAAAGAACATCAGAAACATAAGCCAAACAAATATACATGTTATAGTATTAAATTTGTATTGCCAATTTAGGGTCTACTTTGTGGTGGTAGTGTGTCTGTGAACAAAATGTTCTTATATTGATGGCCTTTTAGTTCTTATTTACTATTTTGATAGTAAAAGAGCCAATTCTTTTACAAGTACACTAAAAGAATAAAAAAGTTGATTCTCAATGATTTCACCATTTGATTATAAATGTTAGGACTAAAATTTTTTTTGAGACAAGGTCTGCTCTGTCATCTAAGCTAAAGTACAGTGATATCATCATAGCAACCTCAAACTCCTGGGCTTCAACAATTCTCCTCCCTTAGCCTCCAGAGTAGTTGGAACTACAGGCACACGCCACTATGCTCAGCTAATTTTTTTGCTTAATATAGAGATGGAGTCTTAAAATGTTGCCCAGGCCTCAAACTTAAAACTGCTGGCCTCAAGCAAACCTCCTATCTCAGTCTCCAAAAGTGCTTGGGATTACAGGTATGAGCCACTATGCTGGACCCCTATTAAATTCTAATGTTTGCTAACTAGAATGACTCCTTAATGCTTAACATCTGTCTTTTTTGACCACAAAGGGCCAATTCCTAAAACACTGGTCAGAATCAAAATTTGAAAATTAAGACAAGTCAAAAGGTATGCACAAAAGGGCCAATCCTAAACAATAAGCAGTGACAAGTGATTAAAACCATTGGACCAAGTTGCTAAGTTATAAGGAAGCTGCTGTTCATCTGGACCTTAGCCCAGAACACAAAAATTTAGAGACGAAACACTGATGGTTTAAAGGGAACAAGAGTTCCAAATTTGCTGCCTCATTCTTTTATCTGCAGAAGCTTCCTCTGATACTGCCTGTTTTTACTGAAATGGCCATAACCACACCGGAAAATTCAACAGGGCTCCAAGGCTCTCAGACAGGTGGAAATCTACTGATAGAAAAACACATGAAGAATATATTGAAAGCTAACTTGGATCAGAAATTACATGTTTTTTAGAACAAACAACCCAAGAGTTTGCCAAAAGGGACAACAAAGCATTTAAAAACCTCTCAAAATCCTTTAACATAACTAAAACAGAAAAGAAAATTATCTGAACTCTCCCGAGTTTAAGGCCCTTCCTTTGACAAAATGCAATTTTTTTTTCCTTCCACGACTCAGTTCCTTTAAGAACCACCACCTGCCCATGTTGCATTTTTTTCCTCAAGAAGGCATCTGCACTGCAGATCTCTGCATAAGGGGAGCTTGCCAGCCGGCTCCCACCAGCAGGCAGACGCATATACAATGGAAACTAAAGGAGGTCTGCAGCTTCCCTCCTAGTCTTTCACAGAAATGGGAAAAGGGGCTTCAACCAGCTCCTGCTTTGTCTGAATTCGCCCCCCTCCCTCCTTCTGCAGTAAACACCTCCTTTTGTTATACTGCTATCAACAACAGCCCACAGAAAACATGAAATCAAAACATGTTGATGGCTTGGCACCACTCTATTTATTATCTTCTAGAATATAAGCGACTGATTGCACGTCCCCACCCCCACGCAGTGCCAGTGAAGAGCAGGCTGTGTTGCAGATATAGCGACGGATCCATCTTGGACCATCCGCAGCTCCCTCCCAAATCTTTCCCAGAGCTATTTTCATCACGCCCCCTTCCACCTCGGAACCTAAGAAAAATCGAGCATTCATAAAGTCTAGCCTAAGACTGTAAAAGAAAGGTAGGGGGCCTACGTTGCTTCCATTAAACTTCCTCATGGGCAAGCTCCCCCCCCCCCAAATGTTCAGATGACTATTCTATGTGTTTGATTATGTCAACATCGGTCTGCAAACCTGCTATGCAACCCTTTCACCACCATCCCCTCAAAATCTTAACGAATCATTTCTCCCACGACCCACCTGCCCAATCCTCTCAACCTCGCTAATCCCCCACTAAATCACCCCGGTTCAGAGGAGGGCTTTCACCTCCCCGAACACAGTTCATCATATGCATCGAGCAATTCTCCATTTTACCCCACCCTCCCGCGGGCTAGTGTTTTTCCCCACCTGCCCAGTCTCGGCGTTAACACCCACTCTCCAGACTACCTCCCCGCCCCCAACTTGTTTTCCCCACACCCCGTTATTTCCTCACAGCTTGCACCACCTTATGTTTCCCTCCCCCTTTGCCCATTTTCCAAACGCTCGTCCCTCGGGGCTGAAGCCGTCAGCAGACCCGGGTAATTCGCCCTACCCCCGCGTCCTGATTTCCCCCCCAACTCCCGGACCCCTGCTCGACACCCCCTAGGGCGGGGGCTCCCCCGCGCGTCTCACCCGCACAGGAGGAACCGCAGCTCTTCGCCCCCAGGGTGGGGCAGGCTCCTGGGCTCCCGCCGCCGCCAGGCGCGGACGGCTCGGCCCCGGAGGACGACGACGAGATGGACGGGGACTGAGTGGCTGCCGACGGCTCCGCCATGGCTATGCGAGCAAGGGCGGGAGAAAGGTGAAGAGAGATATGGGGCGGAGGTGAGGGAGGGGAAATAGAATAATCAAGCAGGTAGCTCTTCCAAGTCCCCGCGCTCCGCCTGCTCCGAAGACAGACTCGGACAGACTGACTGACTCAGCCGAGCGCAGCGAGAGGGCGGGAGCGCGAGCGCGCACGCGCACAGACGCCCCGCGAGCGGGTGCCCAAGGGCAAAGAAGCGCAGGGCGCAGGCGCAAGAACTGCCTTTCAGAGCTCCATTAGGGAAGGAGGGGCAAAACTGGCCTCCCGCCGCGCCCCGCGCGCTGCCGGGGTGGGGCACGCCCCTCGGGGACCAGACGCGAGGGAGTGGCTGAGCACCAAGCCCCGCCCACTGCGGCTGACGCGAGGGACTGCGGGCTAGTATTTCGCTTAGAGCTCTTTACGTAAGTGTTTTCGGAAGGCGGTTTATGTATTTTTAACGACAGAAATTTCTTTGTGCTTTCGTTAGGTGGAAACTTCCCCATAAATGCCAGAGTCGATGTCTTTCGGTTGATGCGTTCCCACCTGTGATTCCAATAAAAGATGAAAACCACAGCGTAGAGCAGGCCCACGCTGCAAGGTGCTTTGGTAACTTAACTGAATGTGTCGTAATATCTCCTCACCCGGAGGCAGACATGGCACGGGCCCCCCATTTCGTAGGTGGAGAAACCTGCTGTGCAGAATGAAAGACTAGTCATTCCAATCACGTTGCAATACAGTCGCAGAACTTGCTTCATATTCTTATCTGGTTACTGTTGCCAGGGGGTCCAACCTCGGGTCTTAAGGTTGTCTTTTCCTCGAAATAGACTCTGAGATAGAGAAGCACTGTTTGGAGGAAAAAAATACTGAGCTGCTGAAGGGAAAAAACCCAGGAGATAAGAACATCCTCGTTGTGATTATGAGGGAGGATGATAAAATGAAGTATTCAAAATTCAGAATAAGGCCAGAAGCAGCTACCTAGAGGCTGAAGGGAGAGGATCCCTTGAGCCCCGGAATTAAATTCAGCTTGGACAACATAGGAGAGACCCCCGCCTCCACTCCTCCACCTCCATCTCTTAAAAAAAAAAAAAAGATAAACAAATTCAGAATAAAGCACAAAATACATATAATTGGATTATATTCATGGCCCAAATGAGGTCTTTAGCAGCATAAATACTTGAAACCAGACATCCAACTTACATTGGATTTTATTCATTTTTTGCTTCTCCTGGGTTGGCTTGCCAAATTTAAAGCCTCCTTACAATAGGTTAAATATTTGTAAGGTACACAAATTTTTTTAAAAGGGGAGTATGTCCTGGAAATAATAAAAATCAAGACTGTAGGCTTTGTTATTGCTAAAGCAGCAATCGATGACCCAAAGCACAATTGCAGAATCAACAAATCCTGTAAAGATGCAACCTCATGCGGGGGAGGTTGTCAGCTAGAATGCCACAAAGTGGAAAAGCGATCTGAGATCTTCTAGAATAGGCTGTAGACAACATCTGCCCTTGTCAGTTTTTAAGGTCAGATAAAGCAGGGACAACTCCTGGCCCTTGGAACACTCTGAAAAAGGCACAGAAGAATATTTCCCAAAATAACTTCGTGGCAAATATCTTATTCTACCACTTACAGCATCAGCTGATAATGCAGCAAACTGTCCCTTAGATGACAAAGGGAAATAGTAGCTGATCTGATAACCATGCCAGTTACCTACCCATTCTATAAATGCATGTTTTTAAAATATCTGTATAATTAAGTGCTAAGGAAATAAATTATACAAGGGCGGCACCTGCAGCTCAGTGGGTAGGGTGCCAGCCACATACACACCGAGGCTGGTGTGTTTGAACCTGGCCCAGGCCAGCTAACATAGCAATGACAACTGCAACAACAAAAAATAGCCGGGCATTGTGGCAGGCTACTTGGGAGGTTGAGGCAAGAGAATCTCTTGAGCCCAAGAGTTTGAGGTTGCTACGAGATATGATGCCATGGCCCTCTATCTAAGGTGACAGCTTGAGACTCTGTCTCAAAAAAAAAAAAAAAGGAAGAAAGAAAGAAAAGAAATGTTGCAGGTACCTAATTCTTTTTTTTTTTTTTGAGACGGAGCCTCAAGCTATCCCCCTGGGTAGAGTGCCATGGCATCATGCTCACAGCAACCTCCAACTCCTGGGCTCAAGCGAGTCTCCTGCCTCAGCCTCCCAAGTAGCTGGGACTACAGGCGCCTGCCACAGCGCCTGGTCATTTTTTGGTTGCAGCCATCATTGTTGTTTGGCGGGCCCGGGCTGGGGATTCGAACCTGCCACCTCAGGTGTATGTGGCTGGCGCCTTAGCCGCTTGAGCCATAGGCGCCGAGCCCAGGTACCTAATTCTAATAGCACTTTTTAGAATCTGGAGACTCCAGCTGGAAAGGAAGCCCATTTCCCTAATATTTAGAGGTAGAAAAAAGAAGTTTAAAATCAAGACATTCATGTGGTCTTGCTGGTCTCTTCAGACCTTTTAGATAATTTTTTACATAGGAAGACTTTGTGAGTGGTCTAATTTCTGAAGCTGTCTTTCCTTTCTGCTTTCTCTTGGTGCTGTACCAGTGAACATTCCTGAGATTGATTCTGCTCTGAATGTTTGCTTACTTGTATATATGATTCATTCCATGAATGTTTACTGATCACCTGTGTGTATAACGTAATCCTGGGAACTTTGGAGGGACCCCCCCAAATATGTTTGTCTTAATTTCAGTGAGTTAATAAGCTAGTTGGTGGATAGAACTCATATAAAGTTAAATAATACAAATTAAATAGCAACCCCAAACAACCCCAAATAACATAAAACCATGGTGTTCCTAGATGACTAGGAGTTTGGAGTTACAGGGGGTCATTAAAGGCAGGAAAGAAGTAAACACAGGGGTTGCTTTTATACATGTATACAAAAAGGTACCATTGAGGGCAGATGAATCACACACACACAAAAGGACTTCTCCCCAGTCTAGCCCATGATGCAGTTCCATGCTGATGTGTCAAGCAGAATGTGCCCTAGATTTGATCCCGTCTTGCCCCTTCCCTCTGCAGGATGCCTCTGTGAACACATAGACTACACAACTATATGTGGTGGCTGTAAGGCTCAAAATTGTGACCGTGTGTCAGGTGTCTTGGATGTTGGTTACACCAAGTTGGCTGGATCTTGAATTGGCGCAAGAGGGAAGATATGTTGGGACCAGAGTGTGGAGAAGCTATAGTAGTGCACTAAATAACTGAGGCTGGGTCTGAGGAATAATGGGGATTCGGTGAATGTTTCTGGGCAGGGAAAGGCTCAGATGAGATTTTTAAAGTGCTCACTATAGAGTACCCAAATATATCTATTTCCTAGGAGTTCCATCAAATAACTTTTTTTGTCTGTTTGTTTTGAGATAGCGTCTTGCTCTGTTGCCCTGGGTTGAGTGCTGGGATGTCATAGCTCACAGCAACCTCAAACTCCTGGGCTCAAGTGAACCTCTTGCCTCAGCCTCCTTAGCAGCTGGAACTATAGGCGCAGGCCACCGTGCCCAGCTAATTTTTCTAGTTTTAGTAGAGATGGGTGGGGGGAGGTCACCCTGTTGCTCAGGCTGGTCTCAAACTCTGGAGCTCAGTCAATCCACCTGCCTCAGCCTCCCAGCACCTGGCCTATAGCAAACTTTTGCTGCTGAGGTACTATGCTAGGTCTCTTCTTCCTGTCTTTATAGGACTGGTGTTTATACAAATCATTTCCCACCTTGGCTTCTTTTTTTTTTCAGAGACAAAGTCCCTCTCTCTCTGTCAGCTAGGCTGGAGTACAATGGTGTGATCATACCTCACTGCAGCCTCAAACACCTGAGCTCCAGTGATTCTCCTACCTCAGCCTGATGAGTAGCTAGGACTGCAGGCACGTGCTACCACAGCCAGCTAAACATCTCAAGTTCTAAGCCATCCCATTACCTTATTTTTTCTTGACTTTTTTTTTTTTCTTGAGACAGAGCCTCAAGCTATGCCCCTGGGTAAAGTGCCATGGCATCACAGCTCACAGTAACCTTCAACTCCTGGACTCAAGTGAGTCTCCTGCCTCAGCCTCGCAAGTAGCTGGGACTACAGTCGCCCGCCACAACGCCCAGCCATTTTTTGGTTGCAGCCATCATTGTTGTTTGGTGGGCCCGGGCTGGGGATTCGAACCCGCCACCTTAGGTGTATGTGGCTGGCGCCTTAGCAGCTTGAGCCACAGGTGCCGAGCCATTTTTTCTTGACCTTAAAAAAGAAACTATATAATTAAAAAATTTTGACTACGAGGCCAGGCATGGTGGCTCATGGTGTAATCCTGGCACTCTGGGAGGCTGAGGCAGGTAGATCACTTGAGCTTATGAGTTCAAGACCAGCCTGAGCAAGAGTGAGACCCTATCACTCTAAAAAATTAGCTGGGTAATGCGGCGGGCACCTATAGTCCCAGCTACTTGGAGAGGCTGAGACAAGAGGATTGCTTGAGCCCAAGAGTTTAAGGTTGGTGTGAGCTTAAACACCACAACACTCTACCAAGGGTGATAAAGTGAGTCTTTGTCTCAAACAAACAAAAAAGAAATTGATTACATTCACAAGTCATATATATATATAATACACACAGATATATTGAAAAGTATATATGTACTATAAAATTTTCTCTTTTTTCATTCTTTTTTAAATTCTAGGATATAAACCATTAGGTTATATAATTTACACTTCACAGGTAAAAATTTATTTTTTTATTTTATTTTATTTTTGGAGACAGAGCCTCAAGATGTTACCCTGGGTAGAGTGCTGTGGCATCACAGCTCACAGCAACCTCTAACTCCTGGGCTTAAGCGATTCTCTTGTCTCTGCCTCCCAAGTAGCTGGGACTACAGGCACGTGCCACAGCACCCGGCTATTTTTGGTTGCAGCCATCATTGTTGTTTGGCGGGCCCAAGCTGGATTTGAACCCACCAGCTCAGGTGTATGTGGCTGGCGCCTTAGCTGCTTGAGCCACAGGCGCCATGCCTACAGGTAAAAATTAGAGTTGCAGTTGTGTCCTACATCTAGGTAATGGAGTGTACCATATATCCATGCATTGTGCCCATTGGGTGGGAAGCCACTGAACACCCTCCCCATCTTCTTGGAGGTTATTTTGTTTGTTTTTTTTGAGACAGAGTCTCACTCTCTTGCCTTAGGTAGAGTGCTATAACATCATCATAGCTAATAGCAA